CATGAGCTTGCAGGACCAGTAGGAATTCTTCATGGAAAGATCTGTGTGAACTTGTGATGTGGAGAAGGGCCTATGGTGAATCATAGCATAGAAGAGTATTTCAAGCTGAGGAAATAGCATGCACAGTTTTCATTTACAATAAAATTAAATAATTTATTTATAATAAAGTTAATGTATTAATCACTTTTATAACATGCTAATTCTCTATATCAATTTCATCAAGAGTAACAGGTAATGAAAATTGTGTTTTATTTTTGCATGAAGGCATTCACGGGGATGCAGATGTCATTGGGAACATTCCCAACACTAGAATTACTCTAACATCTCCTACTGAATTGGGGGAGATTTCTAAATTTGAGGAGGTAAAATTGTATTCTACCAGAAGAATATTTCTAATGTTTTTGAGCAATGACATGCCACCCGGGAATGCTAAACAAATGCAATACACGGTAATTCTATGGGCTAAAGACAGGGCTTCAGGGATCTGACAAAACCAGGCTTGGGTTCTTGGTCTGTTATGCAGCTTGAAAGGTAGAGCGAATGCCATTTATATTTTAATTATTTTATCTGTCGTCTTTGCATGGGATTACTTAGGAAAACAACTAAATTGTAATAAAAATGCAAAGATATTTACTTTAAGCCATTTAAAAGTACACATTATTATTTTTTTATTTTTGAAACGGGATCTCACTCCTTCACCAGGCTGGAGTACGGTGGCACAATCTTGGGTCACTGCAACCTCTGCCTCCCAGGCGTTAGCAATTCTTCCACCACAGCTTCCCAAGTAGCTGGGACCACAGGTATGTGCCACCATGCCTGGCTAATTTTTTTGTATTTTTTGTAGAGATGGGATTTCGCCATGTTGCCCAGGCTGGTCTCAAAATCTTGGGCTCAAATGATCTTCCCACCTCAGCCTCCCAAAGTGCTGGAATTGCAGGCGTGAGCCACTGCACCCAGCTAAAGTACACACAATATTATTTTAAAAGTGAATTGTAATTTAAAAGAATGCTTTCTCTTTTCAAAACTTTTTATTCAAATTGAAGTTTGCATGGAGAAATGCATATGGGATCAGGGTAAGTGGAAACTGTGTTTTTAAATTCATATATGTGAAATAATCTCAATTCAGTTAAAATGTACACACACATACATTAAAAAAAAAAAGAGTAGATATAAATATATCAATGTGCCAAGTGACTTTCTACAGTATGGCATTAGAGTTGAATTTTATTTTCTTTAGAGATGTATGTATGAAGAATATTTTAAAATTCTATTTTGATCAGGAAAAAAGAAAGAATACTTGAAAAGCAAAATCAGGATACATAGCAAGTTCCCAGTAATGAAGCCTCTTCAAACAATGTCAGCCATATTCTAAACATAAAGACAGAAACAACCTACCAGTCATACTTGTAACTGATTGCAACTCTGTGGCCACAGTGCCCTTGCCCACACCATCTACTCTTTTGCCCAGGAGAAAATAAACACAATCACCTAGAGGCGAAATGTGGGAGAGTTTGCCTTTGTCCCCAATAAATCTGTCAGAACAGGGGAGGATGTATTAGCTGGATTACAGTTTCATTCAACAAATCATTTTTGTTTCCAATAGGTGATTTCTAAGACAGGGTGAGAAGGAGAGAGAAACAGATAGAGACAGAGAGGAGAGGGATATTTGAGGAGAAAAGGAGTCCGGTAAGCCCAGTAACAGGGTAATGCATAACGTTAGTGAGAAACGACTACCAGATAGTAAGCTATGTGTTTTGTATACATTATAACAATGACAAGTGTATTTATTTCTCCTTTTATGAGTAAAGAAACTGAGGCTCAGAAGGATTGGGGTACTTTTAAACTATCACAGTGAAGGAAGGTACAGCCTTAAGGTATAGTACTTTCAGGGCGCCCCTTACGGGAACTGAGATCCTCCAGTTCTGTCCCCTGAGAGGATAACCTGTCTGCTGTTACTGATGGCTTGGTGCCTGAGAGTTTCCAGGTTGGACGAGCTTTTTTTGCCCTAACAGGGCCCGTCAAATAGGCAGTTCCTCTCCCAGTCTTTCCCTCCCAGCTCTCAACCCTACTTGGCCTCCCATATTTTCTTCCAAATCCTTGTTTCTCCTTTTTTGTGTTTCTAAACTCTCTGATGTGAAATGTATGCTTCCCAGCCCATTTCATGATGTTTTTAATATTTGATCCCCAGTCCATAACAGAGTCCTGTTTCACCTTCCCCATATGTCCCCCAACCTCCTCCAATAATTCTTCCGATTCCACAGAATACAGTCTTTGGCAAAATAGGCATTAATGGGTTGCATTGTCTTCCCCAGTAGATAATACAAGCATGTAACATTAGGTGTTCTCCAAGGGCCCTAATATCTCTCTTCTTTGTAAAAATAAATATATCCAACTAAATGGATGAGGCTTAAAGTTCTGCCATTTTATTCCTTTTTTTTAAGATAGTAGATTTTTTAATGTACGCTCCCTGAGCCTTGGGGTTCTATGAATCTGCTGAGAAAGTCTAGAGCAGTTAGAGAAAGGAGACAGGTGGGGTTACTCCAGAATTCCCTCCTGGGATAAAGAGAGGATATTGTGGTATTGGAGGTGAGTGAGTGGATCAGTGACTATTCATTCCTGCATACAGTGGCCTTTATACATCTCTCAATTAAAAAGAAGCAGGTGTTATTCATGTGGACTCACACAATACCGGGACTATAATTGAAACTGTCTTTGCAAAATTATTACAGCAAGATAAATCTGACACTGTTGATTTTAACTTCCATCTTGATTCTAACCTCCAAGCTGTCTTTGGTCATTTCTGGGTGTAGACCAAGTTCACTTTGGGAGAAATGTAGTTCATAATTTAACCTTAAAGTAGGGATGAAAATAGTCCTTTCCAAAACTAAACCACCTTTGTAAAACTAATGTAATACCATGATATGGTTTGGCTGTGCCACTACCCAAATCTCATCTTGAATTGTAACTCCCACAATTCCCATGTGTCATGGGAGGAACCTGGTGGGAGGTAACTGAATCATGGGGGCAGGTCTTTCCCGTGCTGTTCTCATGTTAGTAAGTAAGTCTCATGAGATCTAATGGTTTTAAAATGGGACTTTCCCTGCACAAGGCCTCATTCTTTGCCTGCTACCATCCATGTAAGATGTGACTTGCTCCTCCTTGCCTTCTGCCATGATTGTGAAGCCTCCCCAGCCATGTGGAACTGTAAGTCCATTAACCTCTTTCTTTTGTAAATTGCCCAGTCTCTGGTATGTCTTTTTTAGCAGCATGAAAATGGACTAATACACACCACAGTGTTAGGATTATGAGAGGGGCCTAAATTCTGTTAAGATGTAGGTATAGTTTCCATAATCCCTTATTGCTCAGGAATCATGTGGCTAAAGTTCATAAGATTTGTGTCTTTCCCAATGACTCCTATAAATAACATCACTATTATGGAACCTAGATTGGATATTTGAGATATATTTCAGGCTGACTCCACCCAGACTCTTGACTCATGACTCAATTGATCCTGTGGTCCCACTCTGAGGTAGACTTAGTGCACAATGACTGTTTTCCACACTCCTATGATTTCATCTGTAGCCAATCAATATCCCCATTCCCGAGCCCCAACTCACCAAACTATCCTTGAAAACTCCTAGCTTTTGAGCCTTCTAGATTGATTTGGAACTGGTCTCATATCAATTAAACTATTTCTCTACTGCAATGCTATGGTCTCAGTGAACTGATTTTGCCCGTGCAGCAGGCACATATATAACGCATCAGGTAGTTATATAAACACGACACAGAAAGAGAGTTATGTTTTAAAGGGATTCAGCAAACACTTTCTAACCTAAGTAACATGTGCCCATTCTGATTGTCAATTAAAAACCAAGTAGAGCATGCAATGATGAGCATGATTGAAAATATTACTTTCACATCCAACTTCTAATACTCTGTTTAACCATCAGCTGAAGCTGCCCAAAACAACTGTGACTTGCACAGGTAAATTTAAATGCTACTTTCTTACACAAAATTTTTGTACTGGGGTTATTTCCATGCAAGAGTAAACAAAACTAACAGATTTTCTACATCATTAGGAATCCAAAAGACACAGCTCTTTCTTTATGCCACTACTACAGAGATAACCCTAATCTCACCTGTATTGAAACATGGGCTACAATATTAGAGCTATTCCTAAGAGGAAATGGTAATTATAACAATAATTTTTATTTTTAACTTACAGTGAACTTTATCATTCAAGATGTAAGCATTTCCCAAAAGTTTAAGTAGATGGTAACCATTTTTAGAAATATACTGAATATATTATTCTTTTATTCTCTCTAAGCAAATTATTTCTCAGTTTGCTTCTTCACAGTTGTATTAGTCCGTTTTCACACTGCTGTAAAGACATAAGCAAGACAGGGAAGAAAAACACGTTTAATGGACTCACAGTTTCACATGCCTGAGAAGGCCTCACAATCATGGTGGAAGGTGAAAGACACTTCCTACTTGGTGGCAGCAAGAGAGAATAAAAGCCAAGCAAGAGGGGTTTCCCCTTAAGAAACCATTAGGTTTCATAAGACTTATTCACTACCATGAGAACAATATGGGGGAAACCACTCCTATGATTGAAATTATCTCCCACTGGGTCTCTCTCACAACATGTGGGAATTATGGGAACTACAGTTCAAGATGAGATTTGGGTGGGTACACAGCCAAATCATAGCATTCTGTCCCCAGCCCCTTCCAAATCTCATGTTCTCACATTTCAAAACCAATCATGCCTTCCCAATAGTCACCCAAAGTCTTAACTCATTTCAGCATTAACTCAAAAGTCCACAGTCCAAAATCATCTGAGACAAAGAAAGTCCCTTCCACCTATGAGCCTATAAAATCAAAAGCAAGTTACTTACTTCCTAGCTACAATGGGGGTATAGGCATTGGGTAATACAGCTGTTCCAAATGGGAGAAATAGGCCAAAACAAAGGGGATACAGGCCCTATGCAAGTCCAAAATCCAGTGGGGCAGTCAAATCTTAAAGCTCCAAAATAATCTCCTTTGACTCCATGTCTCACATCCAGGTCATGCTGAAGCAAGAGGTGGGTTCCCATGGTCTTGGGCATCTCCACTCCTATGGCTTTGCAGAGTATAGCTCACCTCCTGGTTGTGCTCACAGGCTGGCATTAAGTGTCTATGGCTTTTCCAGGTGCATGGTGCAAGCTGTTGGTGGATTTACCATTCTGGAGTCTGGACGATGGTGGCCCTTTTCTCACAGTTCCTCTGGGTGGTGCCCCAGTAGGAACTCTGTATGAGGGATCCAACCCCACATTTCCCTTCCCCACTGCCCTAGTTTTTCATGAGGGCCCCAACCCTGCAGCAAACTTCTCTCTGGGCATCTGAGCATTTCCATAAATCCTCTGAAATATAGGTGAAGTTTCCTAAACCCCAATTCTTGACTTCTGTGTTCTCAGGCTCAACATCACTTGGAAGCTGTCAAAGCTTGGGGCTTGTACCCTCTGAAACCATGGCCTGAGCTCCACATTGACCCCTTTCAGTCATGGCTGGAGTAGCTGAGAGGCAGAGCACCAAGTCCCTAGGCTGCACACAGCATGGAGACCCTGGGTTCAGCCCACAAGACCATTTTTCCTCCTAAGCCTCTGGGCCTGTGATGGGAGGAGCTGCCATGAAGACAGCCCAGATGTCAAGTTCCTCATCTCCATCTGAGATCATCTCAGCCTCCACTTTATTGTCCATATCACTATCAGCATTTTGGTCAAAGCTATTCAACACATCTCTAGGAAGTTCCAAACTTTCTGACATTTTTCTGTCTTTTTCAGAGCCCTCCAAACTATTCCAACCTCTGCCTGTTATCCAGTTCCAGAGTTGCTTCCACATTTTTGAGTATTTTTACAGCAATGCCGCACTCTACTGGTACCAATTTACTGTATTAGTTTATTTTCATGCTGCTGATAAAGACATACAAGGCAAGCAAGAAGGGTTTCCCCTTATAAAACCATCAGATCTTGTGAGACTTATTCACTACCATGAGAACATTATGGGGAAAATCCACCCTTATGATTCAATTATCTCCCACCAGGTCCCTCCCATAATACTTGGGAATTATGGGAGCTACAATTCAAAATGAGATTTGAGTGGGAACACAACCAAACAATATCAACAGTCTTTCTTATAACCTGTGGATAGCACCTAATAGTGATTACTTACTGAGCTAGTGTGTTCAAAACAGAGATTAACTGTGTACTAGCATCTTTTGTGTTTATATACTGTGACTGGGTTTTGGGGTACACAGCTCCCCTGAGAGAATGTTGTAGGTTCTTGGTCTCTCGTTCTCTCAAGAATGAAAGAGGGGACTATGGCAGGTGCGTGATATACTCGTAAATACCAAACCCAAAAAGTGTTTGCAGAAAGTGATTTATTTAGAGAAAGAGAGAGAAACAGAAGAAGAGAGAAAGTAATAGCTAGCTCCCACACTGAGTTTGAAGGGTTCCCAGAGGGGGAAAACCAGAGAAGGAAAGCTCCTCTCACACTGAGTGAGAGAATCCAGAAGGATGGAATCCAGGAGAGGAAAGACAGCTTCCACACTGGGTAGAAGGGGACCCCAGAGGAGAAAATCTAGGAGAGAGAAAGACAGCTTCCCACGAGAGAGTTCGTGGAAGGGGATCCAAACATGGAGTCCAAAGGGGTGTGGAAGAAGGGGGCTTTTAACCTGAAAGGAACCCCTCCTTCTCCAAGCCCCTTGGCCAATGAAAGGAGTTCCTTAGAACTTCCGCTGGAGTGATTGACTTTTGACCCTTTCCTGCTGAAAATTAAAACAGAGACCATTAAATCTCCTGGATGGAGAGAGATGGGAGAGGGACATGGTGCTAGGAAGTTCTTGCCCTTAAAACTAGGCCCCCTTGTGGACCCAGCAAGAGAACACATTCCCTCACTACCACCAACTTTTTTAGTGAAATAATTATTTACTGATTGGAGTGCGAATACATATAGCTGAAACCTGAAGAGGTAGTCTGAAATGTGCCTTTTATATACCTGCCTGGAAAATCAAACAACACAAATAAAAAATACATACACTCACACAAGTAAGTTTCTCAAGCAAACAAACTGTGAGAGAATTCATTTTATAAAAACGAATGAAGGCTAGGTGCTGTGGCTCACGCCTGTAATCCCAGCACCCTGCGAGGCCATGGCAGGTGGATCACTTGAGCCCAGGAGTTTGAGACTGGCTTGGGCAACATGGAGAAAACCTGTCTCTATTATTTAAAAATGTATTTATTTTTTTAAAAAGTAATGGAAAGTAAGTGATCCTGAAAACATCACAACGAAATGTGACTTGATTAAGCTGTACAGCACACATTGGTCCTGCCGCTGTGCACAACCTTTGACGCCAGCCCTTTCTCCCTCACTTAGTAGTGTCTGAAACACTTAAAAAAAAAACTATTCTGAATTCCCAAGGCTTTCACTGAACAAAAATAAATATACCAAGATGATGCAGAATTTCGAAGACAAATTATTTAGGAATGCTGCACACCCAAAGAATCCTGTCTTTTATTGGACTTAGAGTAGATGTTAAATATTGTTATTTTACTTGAAAATTAGTTAAACTTTTATATTTTCATTTCAGGGAGGTCGAAGCAAGTGTAGCTTTAACATAAGAACATTGGTAACTCACCAGTAAATAGGTTTGCTATTCCCTGTAGAAGAATATGCAATGCTCACACTATTTAAATTCCTGTTTCTCATCTATTTTGCTTTTTAACTAATGGCACACACTTAAGTGGAATAATAAAGTTTCAGGGATGACAGGTACCTTAATGTTTATCTGGTCAAAACACTTAACGGATGTTTGAATTACCCTTACAAAGCAAGACATTCTATGTTGGAACTGCTGAGACGTTTTAAAAAAAGTTGTCGGCCAGGCACGTTGGCTCATGCCTGTTATCTCAGCACTTTGGAAGGTTGAGGCAGGCGGATCAACTGAGGTCAGAAGTTTGAGACCAGCCTGACCAATATATTGAAACCCTGTCTCAACTGAAAATACAAAAATTAGCTGGGTGTGGTGGCACATGCTTGTAATTCCAGCTACTCAGGAGGCCGAGGCAGGAGAACCACCTGAACCTGGAGGTGGAGGCTACAGTGAGCCAAGATAATGCCACTACACTCCAGCCTAGGCCACAGAGTGAGACTCCATCTGAAAAAAAAAAAAATTATCCAGGTATGGGGGCACATGCCTGAAATCCCAGCTACTCAGGAGGCTGAGGCAGGAGAATCATCTGGACCTGGGAGGTAGAGGTTATACTGAGCTGAGATTGTACCACTATACTCCAGCCTGTGTGACAGAGTGAGACTATCTCAAAAAGAAAGAAAGAAAATCTCAATCATTTACTGTTTGCTAACCATGTGCTACAGACACTCTTATCTAAATTCCATGCAAACATCTCATTTCTTACTTATTAGAACACCATGAAGTAGATATCATTATCCTTATTTTACAGAGGAGAAAAATGCAAACCTTGGGAGCCCAAATAACTTGTCCACAGATGTGTAACTAATAAGGAAAACAGTCAAGATATAAATTCAAGCAGCAGCTCGAAAATCTTTGCCCTTACCACTGTGCCAAAATTCATCCTAAAAAACAAAACAAAACAAAAAAATCCAGTTCTCCTGATTATTAATTCCTCTTCCACATGATAGGCTTCTAAATATTTGAAGATAGTTTGCATTCCTCACTCCACCTCATTTCCATTTTTGGAGTAAGAGTTGAAATACATATATTAAAAAAAGACTGAGTCTGCTTTTCCTCAAGACAAAAAATACTGTTTTCGTCTACTGTCATTATACACTGTAGTTCACCACCTCTGTATTCTGGCTGCATGAGCTCTGATTTGGCTCATCTCTATTTTTGTGCAGTGCTCAGAATGAAATGCACAATGCAGATATGGTCTGATTAGGGCAGGGTAGAGCAGGCCTAGTACAGCTTTTTCTTGCAGAGATTACTTTTCTGTGACTGCAGCCACAAAAATGCCAGCCCAGACCAGAACTTGGTGACGCTCACTGGCCTTCAGGGAACATCTGCCTATGTTGTCACCACTTTAATCAGGACTCATAGCAGCATATCTAGGAGAGGCAAAGTGTGGTTGGAAAAATATGCCACGTGATTCTTTTATACTTTCTTAGATATGAAGAGATTTTACTGTTACATATTCTACATCAGGGTGATCCAGCCTGGGCAAACCCTGTCACCACCAGGAATAGTCACTGAATCGCTAGAGCTTTTAAAAGAAATCTGTATAAACGGAGGCAGTAACTTCACTTTTCATTGCTTATAATGATACAGAACACTATTTAAATTCCTGTTTCTCATCTATTTTGCTTTTTAATGGCACACACTTCGTGGAATAATAAAGTTTCAGGGATGACAGGTACCTTAATGTTTATCTGGTCAAAACACTTAACCGATGTTTGAATTACCCTTACAAAACAACACATTCTATGTTGGAACTGCATAGCAACCATTCTGAGTTCTACATTCCTGATATAAAATAAGACTAATCAATCTATTTTGTAGGATTATTTAGAGATTCAAATTAAGTAATAGCTAAAATATGCTATAGAAATCTACTCATTATTCTACTAGACACAGAAGACTTTTAAGTAGTTTTATAATAAACTAAAAATATTGCAAATAAATATCTAAAGAGATCATTTTACAACTGAGGCATCATAATATTCTGTATTCATCTTAAACATAGTCATAGACATGAGTTATATAACAAGAAAGTATACTAGCAGCTAGGCGTGGTGATTCACCTCTGTAATCCCAGCACTTTGGGAGGCTGAGGAGGATGAACCATCAGAGGTCAGGAGTTCGAGACCAACCTGGCCAATATGGCGAAACCCTATCTCTCTTAAAAAAAAAAAATACAAAAATTAGCAGGGTGTGGTGGCATGTGCCTGTAATCCCAGGTACTTGGGAGGCTGAGATAGGAGAATTGCTTGTACCCAGGAGGCAGGTTGCAGGTAGCCGAGATTGTACCATTGCACTACAGCGTAGGTTACAGAGCAAGACTCCATCTCAAAACAAGCAAAAAAACCAGACAGCTACATTTATCTAATCATATAATTTACCTCTTAGTATATAAATATGCTTTTTTCAGGTTAAGCAGTAATTATAAATTGTGTTTTAGTAATATTTTGATGAAATTAATATGTTAGCAATTTTTCCTTTTTTTCCTTGTAGCTCTCTCTCCAGTCTTATATTATTACTCTATATTTCCTAGGCCACTTCATCCTAGAGAATTTTGCTTTTCTGTACAATTATCTTTTCCTCAGAGTACTTTCTAGAAACTCAAGACTAAGATGCTCATTATAATCGGATATAAGAGTGGGGCAGAAGGTTTGCAGAAAGTGTGGAACGTTTGAAATAGCTGATGTAAAGAATAGAATGTGTTAATGTAGGACAAGCAGGTTTGGTAGATGGCCTTGGTGTGAATAGAGTTGTATAAATTTCTCCAGCAGCATTCTGTAGCAATGGAGAGAGGAAAAGAAGGTGAAGTGTTTTAATTCAATACTGGGCACATTTTTTAGGTGATTGAAATAAGCAGTAAGGGACAAGGAAGTCGAAGTTTTGGCAAGAAAACTGTTGAGAGGATGAACAAAGGAAAGGAAGTGAATATAGAAAGGAACAAGAGGATCAGAGTAGGGATTGTAGAAACCATTCATTAAAGTCACTCCAGCTGATGGTGAGACTTGAGATGACACCGAAAATGTTGATCTAAAGTCAGGATCACCTGTGAATGTAGAGGAGGGACCAGGAGGTCAACTTATGCTTGAAATATGGAAGGAAAGAGTGGTAGATTCCCATGACTCTCAAAGAAGCCTGGTTTCTGTAGCAGGAGGGAGTTCTGGAAGTTTCTAGGAAGCAGTGAGATTGTTGACTCACTCTCCAATCAACAATGGGTTTGGTGTGAGTGAGCAGCCTCTATTCAGGGGCACGCAGGGGAAGGAGTCATTTGGACCACAAAGCGGAGCAGTCCAGGCAAAGGCCAAGAGGTGGTAGGATCATTCTGTAATTAACCAAAGAAAAGCATTTCCTGAAAATATTTCAAGTATTTATTTTGGTAGCTGCATTTTCTTTAAAGCCACAGATATATTAATAACCTGCACAATGAGGATTCCAATTTAAAAATTAACTAAAAGGCTTATTTTAAAATTCTAACTTTTGACTGGATGTGGTGGTTTACACTTGTAATCCCAGCACTTTGGGAGGCTGAGGTGGGTGGACCACTTGAGCCCAAGAGTTCAAGACCAGCCCGGCCAACAAGATGAAACCCCTCTCTACCAAAAATACAAAAATTAGCTGGACGTGGTGGCATGCACCTGTAATTTCAGCTGTTCAAGAGGCTAGGCATGAGAATAGTTTGAACCCAAGAAGCAGTGTTTGCAGTGAGCAGAGATTGCACCATTGTACTCCAGCCTGGGAGATAAAATGAGACCCTGTCTCAAAAAAATAAAAAATAAATCCTAAATTGTTAAAAAAAATGCCTTTAAATATATTAATACATTCACTTTCCTGTGGTAGGGAAGACACAGGCAGCCAATTCTTTACATTCTTTTGGCTGGCTTAAGTCTTTTTTGGAACAAGGTGGGGTATAAATTAATTAGTAACAGAACAGCTTGTCATCAAATTGCAATCAGGCTATGCTCCAAAAGTTTTTTTTTTTTTTTTAATCTATTTTGAGGCATATTGCAATATATTTTCAACTGAAAAAACATAATGGGCAGAATCAAGTACACCTGACCTTGGAGTGTGACACTGAGTCTATCCCTGCCCTGCCTCCTGGCCACAAGAGCTTGCACTTTGCTGACAGTCTCAAGCTTCTACAACTTCAGCAATCCTGGGCAGTGACATCATCCCGGAGGCCTGGGTTGTGGCTGCTGGTGCAAGGCGGGGAGGCAGGTTACATTTTTCAGCATTGTTTGGGTGCTAGAGGCTAGTTAATTTCCTAAATGTGCATCAGAGATCAGTTTTTCCATTACCCAGTTTTTCTGTCTGAGAAAAGGTTGGCCATTCTTAGAGGGCAAACCCCTTATCACTGACATGGTAATTTGAGTAATTCTAACATAATGTGTTGTGTAAGTCACTGGAATAGCCTGAGATTGCTAATAACTAAAGGATGTATCAGAACAGCTTTTCTAAGCACCAATTCTTATTACATACATAACCTTGTGGGTCCCAGGGATAGAAAATGGTACTGACTTTTTAATGACACTACAGTCATCCTGGAAATTCTTGTTCTAAAATTACATTATGGTTATTTTCTTGCCTCTAATTTCCTCAAAAACTGAAGCCATGAAAACCTGCAGTTAGTTTGGAGTTAATTATACTTCAATTTAGTCAAAGCTTTAATGTTCAAATGTCTAGCACAATGTCTGGCAGACACTAATGGCTTAATAAATGTTTATTCAATGAATCAAAAATCAGCAGATCTTCAGGAAATCATTAGCAAACTAGCTCTTTTATGCTCGGGCATTAGCTAGAATTTAAATGTTGGATGATGAGTGCATGAAATGATGGATATATAGTACTTTCAATTACTATGTTTTATGCTTGAGATTTTCAAGCTGTTTGCCTTCTTGTAAGGACGAGAAGTTGATCACATTTTATTTTTAATTGTCGCTGCTGAAGAGATTATTTTGCACGATAGTATTTTACTTTTAAGTCCGAGAGGTATTTTTAAGGCTGTCCTTTACCAACAAGAAAGAGAGAAAATCAGCTACAGATAAATCCCTACGTGGATAGAATCTTTTTTTGAGATGTGTAAACTTTTTGTGCTGAGGCTATAATTATGAAAAGCATGTCACTTTCAGAAAGAAAATGATAAATTCTCAATGTTTGTTTCAAAAACCAAAGTAATCAGAACACAGTTATTAGGAAAAATGTGTAGCTTTGTATTTCTACCACCACTTTTGCTTATGATAAAATAATATTAACTAGAAATAGAAAAAAATTAATGGGCTTAATAGAAGATATGGCTGTCCAGTTTCATGTCACAACATTGTATTTAGTTGAAACAATAGTGAAATTGAGCTGTTCTAAGGAAAGCTCTCTCATTTTTTGCTGAAGTGGGAAGAACTCAGGTATGCAAAGCCATAATGTTCAATATGAAAAATTCACTTTTCTTCCAGTTGTATATGGATCCTGGTTTGATCATATTTTAATCTGGGAAGAGTACAAAAATGATTTAAAAATTATATGTTATGAAGAAATAAAAAAGTAAGTTTTTTCTAATGTTCCAACAACCAAAATTTAAATCAAATTAAGCTAAAACACAAAATTTGTCAATGGACTTAGGTTTCAGGGAATTAATTTGGCATTTTGACAAGAGTTGCACTTATATTTTAAATTCAATTATTGCTCAGGATCTTTGTGAAAGCATAAAGAAAATAACTACTTTCCTTGGTATAAATGTGGATGACACTGAAATTAATAAGATTGCTTAGAAAATATCATTCAGTGAAATGAAAAATAATGTGGCCAAAGAAAATCATGATCCAAATCATACCATCTGTGCCCTCACATCTAACAGGAACCTGCTGTTTAGGAAAGGTAAGCCAGAAAGCCATGTGGTGCTTTGTCTGTAGCACATATTTGGAAGCAGTTCTGATATGAACAGGAGACAGGGAAATGTTGAGTAGAAGAGGGTGGTTCCCTGGCAAAGGTCCCATTCTCAAGCTTGAAGACCCGGCCCTAAGTGAAAACAGACATTTCTGTTTCCATGCCCAAAAAGTTGCCTTTTGGCCTACTGTGCCCCCCTATCCTGTACACATATAAACTCCAAGGCTCCAGAAGCAGACAAGGAGACAAGGAGACAAGCAGGCAAGCAGATGGGTAGCAGAATGATGTGGCAGAGAAAGGAAGAAGAGAAGGAATGTCTGAATGCCAAGAGGAATTCAGCTGGGGACAGTAGGAGGGGAGTTGGGCAGCTGGATGGCCAAACTCCAGATGAAGATCATTTCCCCCTCCATCCCCCTTCTAACTCCCCATCCATCCCACTGAGCAACCTCCACCACTCAATCAAACTTCACATTTATCCTTCAAGCCCGTGTGTTACCTAATTCTTCCGGGATGCTGGGCAAGAGCTCAGGATACAGAAAACTGTTACATTAGCCCTCCACCCTTGTGAAAAGGCAGAGGGTCATTGAGCTGGTTAGCACTTAAGCCATCTGCGGATGGCAGAGCTAAAAGAGCATTGTAACACTGGGGCTGTAGGCACCTACCCTGAGACACTAACATGGGGCTGGAGCCCAGAGCACTTGCCCCGGCTCCTGCACCTGCCTGTCTATGTATTCTCCCTCCTACTGGGGGGTTGAGCAGCAGAGGCGATTGAACAGGCAAGCCACAGCCCTGCTGCATGTCCTGCAAGGGGAATCAGGGAACTCACCCATTTCAGTTCCATTTTGCCCTTTTTAATTTCTCATTTCACCTTCATACACCCCATTCCAATGGATTGCACATTGCCACCCTTCAGTGAATTTTTACTAAATGAAATTCTTGAGTTACATTTTTTCCAGAGTTAAGATTTCCATGCCCAGTTAGAAACCAATTGAGAGGGAGACACAGGAGTCAAACAGATGGAAATGATAAAGCTATTGGATTTGATGCCTCAAGTCTGCAGCCTAGTATGTTTGCTTACATTTACCCTGAATTTTACTAAGATACCCACTTAGTTACAGTCGATTGAATGTAGGCCTTTCTCCCACTGGGGCCAGCCACCAGACTGTGGTCAGCCACCAGACTGTGGTGGGGAGTCCTATAAGATACTTGTTCTCTTTAGGAGACAGAAGGGAGCTGAGGAGTATAAATGGTACATTTTCCTCAGCTCACCAACCTGCAAAATTACCCTCCAGAAATAACAAAGAGGTTAGGAGAAAAGCTGGGATTGCTATCTAAGGAAGTGCCCCTGCATGAAAGCACAAAGAGAAGGAAATAAATCTTTCCCACTAATTCCTGAGGTTTAACTTAAAAGTAAGTTGGGTCATCCAGGTGCAATGGCTCACCCCTGTAATCTCAGCAATTTGGGAGGCTAAAGTGGGCAGATCACCTGAGGTCAGGAGTTTAAGACCAGCCTGGCCAACATGACAAAACCCCGTCTCTACTAAAAATGCAAAAAAATTAGCCAGTCATGGTGGCAGATGCCTGTAATCCCAGCTACTTGGGAGGCTGGGGCAGGAGAATTACTTGAACCGGGGAGACAGAGGTTGCAGTGAGCTGAGCTAGTGCCACTGCACTCCAGCCTGGGAGACAGGACTCCATCTCAAAAAATAAATAAATAAGTTGGATACATCTGTCTGAATATACGATTGTTTTAAAGTCTCTTAATTTTTATCTAGATGTAGGGAGAAATATTTTAATATAATCACAATGGCAAATTGTTCTTTTTTGTTTTTTGTTTTTTTTTTTACCAGAAAATACACATTTGTTTTCCTTCTTTACCCAACTGGATTGAATTCACCCCAAAGCATATATTTGCTAACTCATGTAGAACAGATATTGTCTTAATTTTGCAAATTATTATTTTCCCTTTTGGTGGCTCATTTTTATTTCCTTATGGTTGCAAAAGGGCTAGAGGGACTTGAGAATTCAATCCAACCAATATTTTTATTAGTACATGATTACTGCTAGGAACTACGGTTCAAAAATTGAAACAAACACAGTCCATTCCTTCAGAGGATCATAATTTAGTAATACAAGATGATAATACAAGGTGGTATAAGCAAATGTGGATGAGAACATGGGTAAAAGATCATTTTACCCTAGCAAAGTAGGGTGAGGTCGTATTGGATCTTGAACTGAAAGAATAAGCAGGATTTTACTAGGAAAATGATGGGGAAGAAATACATTCCAGCAAGAGCTAATAGCAAGAAGAAAAGCTCAGAACCACCATAGGATTGAATGGCATTTTCTAGAAACAGCAGGCAGTCTCATGGGCTGGAGTGTGTTATATGATGTGTGAAACAGAATGGGGGAAATAAAGACTGATGCCTGACAGCTTTGGTGAACAGCAGGAGGAGCTCTTTCCCCCACTTGGTTTGATGCTAAAAGAAAGGACCTGACATGATCAGACCTCTGTGCTAAAGAATAGTCAGGGTACACAACTGATTAGAAGAGGATGGAAGCAGAGGCAGAAAGTCTAATTAAGAAGTTGTTGTGGCTGGGCGCGGGTATCCCAGCACTTTGGGAGGCAGAGGTGGGTAGATCATGAGGTCAGGACTTTGAGACCAGGCTGGCAAAGATAGTGAAACTGGTCTCTACTAAAAATACAAAAATTAGCCAGGTGCGGTGGTGGGCGCCTATAATCATAGCTACTTGGGAGGCTGAGGCAGGCGAATTGCTTGAACTGGGAGGCAGAGGTTGCAGTGAGCTGAGATTGTGTGACTGCACTCTAGTCTGGGTGTCAGAGTAAGACTCTGACAAAGAGAGAGAGAAGAGAAAATTGAAAATATAGACTTTTTCCTATTTGGCCGTTAGAGGTCGCTCAACATCCAGAAAGTGGAAAAAAAAAAAAAAAAAAAAGGAAGGAAGGAGATTGTTTTAATAGTTTGGGGTGGGAAACATTGAGGGTCATAACTGGAGCAGAGATAGTGGAATCGCTGTTGGGTGAAGCTCAGCTGAAAAGTCAGTTTAGGAGCTATCCAGACAAGTGGGAAGAGCTAGTGAAAAAAGGGATAGAAGATGGAGCCCTGCAGACCCTAACATCAATGGGAATGGAACAGTCCAAGAAAAGCCAAGAAAAAAGCATCAGCCAGAATTAGGAGGAAAACCAGGCTCACATATGGTTATTGGGATATCATTCCTGAATTGTGAGAGCACAGCATCTATAGACATACAGGTGGAAGCCAGGTTGAGGGGTTTGAAGGGATGAGATGTGAAGAAGGGGAGCAGCAATAAGAACCACTCTTTAAAGTAGTTTTTTTGTTGTTGGTTTTTACGGGAGCAGGGAGTTTTATTTTTACTCAAATCAGTCTCCCCGAAATTTGGGAATGAGAGTTTTTAAAGATAATTTGGTGGGTTGGGGAAGGCCAGTGAGTCGAGAGGGCTGATTGGTTGGTTCAGAGATGAAATTATAGGGAATTGAAGCTGTCCTCTTGCACCGAGTCAGTTCCTGGGTGGGGGCAGCAAGATCAGAGGAGCCAGTTATCAATCTGGGTGGTGCCAGCTAATCCATCAGTGCTGGGTCTGCAAAATATCTCAAGCACTGATCTTCGAAGTTTAGGGAGGGTCAGAATATTGTAGCCTGCAGCTGCATGACTCCCAAACCATAATTCTCAATCTTTCGACAAATTTGTTAGTCCTACAAAGGCAGTCTAGTCTCCAGGCAAGAAGGAGGTTTGTTTTGGGAACCGGCTGTTATTGTCTTTGTTTTAAACCATAAACCAAGTTCTTCCCCGAATTAATTCAGCCTATGCCCAGGAATGAACAAAGGCAGCTTGGAGGTTAAAAGCAAGGTGGAGTTGTTAAGGTCAGATCTCTTTCACTGTCTCAGTTGTAATTTTGGAATGGCACTCTTCCAAGAAGTTTGAGAGTAGAGGATGGGAACAAGATGATGTGGGATCTTGGGAGAGAGAGGTAGGATTAAGGCACAGATTAGAAGTGGTTGGGGAGAGAAGATGAAGGGAAGTCAGAAAGACTTTAGAACAGGAAACGTGAAGGAAGGCAAAATAAGCAACGGGGAGAGAAAGATTGGGAGGGACCCTCGTAAAGAGGATAGTGAAAAATGAGGACGTTCTGATGCTTGGTGGTGTTTGGTGTCACTGTTGACACCAGTTATCACTGCTCTTTGAGATTCTGATGAGCAAAATAATCAGGATTCACACATCACATCCTACAAACTTGCTTAAATTTACTCTAATAGAAGAGAGTTAATCTCTGATCAGCTACACTAGTAACCCTGGTAAATATCCTCTGGTGAAATCATATCAACCTGATTGTAGCTAGTGGTAGAACTAATTAGACATTAGTTCTATGTATTGAAATTCTATCTAAGAAATGTTTTTCTTGTGCTGGATCTAATCACAGAAGGTTACAAGTGGAAACATCCTCACTGACAGCTATCACCTGAGCACCTGTTGCAGCATTAAACACAAGGATGAACCAATAGAACTCATTTGGTTCACTCCTTTCATTGATTGATTGGATGGGGTGGGAGTTGGGGAGCTATCATTTGAAAATAATTATTTCAAATAAATGACTGAAGTCATTGATTCAGACATCTTAGCTGACAGAGTTATTTTGCACTTTACAAATAATTTACGCCTGTGGTTCTCTTATTTTTTATTATTATTATTCTTTATTTTTAGTAGAGATGGGATCTCACTATGTTGCCCAGGCTGGACTTGAACTTCTGGCATCAAGTGATCCTCCTGCCTTGGCCTCCCAAAGCGCTGGGATTATAGGCATGAGTCGCTGTGCCCTGCCTGCAGTTCTCTTTACTCTGATGTCAGAAATAGAATTGATATAAAGTCGGTTGGGAGCAGTGGCTCATGACTATAATTCTAGCACTTTGGGAGGCTGAGATGGAGAGATTGCTTGAGGTCAGGAGTTCAAGACCAGCCTGGGCAGCATAGTGAGACCCAGTCTCTACAAAAATAAAAAGAAAATAAACACTTTTTTTAAAAAAAGAAAGCGATTATAGTCATCATGGAGATAAGGTGATAGTGAGAACACAAGCGCCACAAGTCCCAAGGCCTATACATATTAAAAGTCGGGGGGAGAATTACAGGTGAATGGAAGGCTGTATGGACTGGATGCATCTTGCAATATTGCTTATAACAGTGAAAACCTAGAATGTACTTAAATGACCATTAATCAAAAACCGTTAATAGACAACCATATAGGGACTTCTATGAAGTCATCAAAACTATAGAATATTTTATCAGAATAACTAGCACTTATTGAATGCTTCCTATGTTTCAGGCACGTTACTTGTTTATCTTAAACATGGCAGCAGACTTGCGGATGACATTCATGCTGTCCACATTTTGCTGAGAAGTCAAGCACCTGAATAATTTGTCTAAAGTCACAGAGCTAGTAGAAGGTAGACTCAAGCCTTGAATTCAAACAGCCTTATTTGTCTTCTCTTTAAGTTTAATCAAACGTTGTCAATGATGTTTACTTTTCAAAAAACTACATCTAGTTTTGTTGACTATTTTCCTATTATTTTCTATTCTCTATTTTGTTTATTTCTGCTGTAAACGTTATTATTTTCTTCCTTCAGCTAACTTTGGGGTTATTCTTTTTATAGTTCCTTTAGGTATAAGGTTGTTTATTTGAGATCATCTTCTTTTTTAATATAAGTGTTTAGCCCTATAAACTTCCCTCTTTGTACTGCTTTTTCACCAACCTAATATATTCTATATTTTTTTTTTTTTGAGATAGAGTCTCACTCTGTTGTCCAGGCTGGAGTGCAGTGCCACAATCTCAGCTCACTGCAGCCTCCGCCTCCCAGCTTCAAACAATTCACCTGCCTCAGTATCATAAGTGGCTGGGATTACAGATACCTGCCACCATGTCCAACTAATTTTTTATATTTTTAGTAGAGATGGGGTTTCACCATGTTGGCCAGGCTGGTCTCCAACTCCCAACCTCAAGTAATCCACCCACCTCGGCCTCCCAAAGTGCTGAAATTACAGGCATGAGCCATGGCATCCGGCAACATCCTATATTTTTTAATATGTTGTGTTTTTGTTTTGTCTCAAGATATTTTCTAATCTTTTGATTTCTTTTTTGACCTCCTGGTTACTCATCTTGCTCTACTGAACCATAATTCTTATTGTAGGGGTGTGTGTGTGTGTGTGTGTGTGTGTGTGTGTGTGTGTGTATGTGTATGTATATATACACATATTAATATTACCCTAGATGATATCAAAGTATAATAAGTAAAAAAAAGCATGTTGTAATTGTGTGATTTTAAAATGTAGTTTATACATCTGTGTGTCTGCAAAGAAAAACATCTGGAAGAATGCATATTAGCAGGTCTGTCAGCCATGTTAGCTCAGTATATTTACTTGATTTCATCTTTCGCTTACATAATTTTCCATATTGTACATGTACAACTACTATATTTTTTAAGCATTTTTTTTCCTTAAAAAAGGGGGAAAATTGGTAAGGCAAAAGAACAAATAAAAAACAAGACAAAGGAACAAAAGGTCAAATGAAGTAAGAATTCAGGTGAATAATACAGAAGCCAGAAGTTAGAACCAGAAAGGACCAAAGAATATTGACAATTGCAAGCACGTCTCATAGATTGGACTTTGCTTTATTTCAGTTTGCAGATCTTGGTATTTGTTTTTATTTTATTTAATTTTAACAAATTTCAGGGTTGTGGCAACCTTGTGTTAAATCCATGGATGCCATTTTTTCAACAGTATACAGTCACATTTTGGTAATTCTCCCAATGTTTTAAACACATTTATTATTATATATGTTAGGGTGATATGTGATCAGTGATCTTTGATGTTACTATTGTAATTATTATGGGTGCCATGAAGTGTGCCCATATAAGATGGTGAACTTAATTGATAAGTGTTGTATGTGTTCTGACTGCTCCACCAAACAGCTGTCCCCCATCTGTCTCCTTCTCTTCTAGCCTGCCTATTCACTGAGACACAACAACATTGAAATTAGGACAATCAATAAACCTGTAATGACGTCTAAGTGCTTAAGTGAAAGGAAGAGTTGCACATCACTCACTTTAAATCAAAAGCTAAAAACAATTCAACTTAGTGAGGAAGGCATGTAGAAAGATGAAATAGGCTGAAATCTGGGCCTCTTGCACCAAACATCTAGCCAAGTTGTGAATGCAAAGGAAAAGTTCTTGAAGGCAACTTAAAGTGCTGCTTTAGTGAACACACCAATAACAAGAAAGTGACACAAATTTCTTGCTGAGATGTAGAATGTTTGAGTGGTCTGGAGAGAATATCAAACCAGCCGCA